TTCCACCAACAGCTGAGCCTTGTTTGTAGTGGTGGAATGATGGTGTCCACCAACAGTCTGTCCTTGCACTTGCTGACATCACCAACAGTCTTGTAGTGGAATCGATGGTGTCCACCAACAGCGTATCGTTGTGAAGTGTTCTGTCCTTGCTGACCCTTGTAGTGGAATGATGGTGTCCACCAACAGCTTTATCGTTGTGGAGTGTTCTGTCCTTGCTGAGTCTTGTAGTGGAATGATGATGTCCACCAACAGCGTTATCGTTGTGAGTGTTCTGTCCTTGCTGAGTCTTGTAGTGGAATGATGGTGTCCACCAACAGTGTTATCGTTGTGGAGTGTTCTATCATTGTAGTGAAATGTTCCACCAAACAGTGTTATCGTTGCTGAGTCTTGTAGTGTTCTGTCCTTGCTGAGTCTTGTAGTGGAATGATGGTGTCCACCAACAGTGTTATCGTTGTGGAGTGTTCTGTCCTTGCTGAGTCTTGTAGTGGAATGATGGTGTCCACCAACAGTGTTATCGTTGTGGAGTGTTCTGTCCTTGCTGAGTCTTGTAGTGGAATGATGGTGTCCACCAACAGTGTTATCGTTGTGAAGTGTTCTGTCCTTTGCTTCTGTCCTTGCTGAGTCTTGTCTTGTGGAATGATGGTGTCCACCAACAGTGTTATCGTTGTGGAGTGTTCTGTCCTTGCTGAGTCTTGTAGTGGAATGATGGTGTCCACCAACAGCCTGTCCCTCCTGTCCTTTGCTGTGTAGTGGAATGATGATGTCCACCAACAGCGTTATCGTTGTGAAGTGTTCTGTCCTTGCTGAGTCTTGTAGTGGAATGATGGTGTCCACCAACAGCGTTATCATTGTGGAGTGTTCTGTCCTTGCTGAGTCTTGTAGTGGAATGATGGTGTCCACCAACAGTGTTATCGTTATCATCCTGTGGAGTGGAATGATGGTGTCCACCAACAGCGTTATCGTTAGTCTGTCCTTGCTGCTGAGTCTTGTAGTGGAATGATGGTGTCCACCAACAGTGTTATCATTGTGAAATGTTCTGTCCTTGCTGAGTCTTGTAGTGGAATGATGGTGTCCACCAACAGCGTTATCACATCTAGCATAACCCTTACAAACTGTACTTTTCTTTTAGTCCTTATAATACCTTGCCTAAAGAACCTTTTTGCAGGTATTTTGGGATCAGTTTCTCTCGCTGCCCATGCTGTCAAGCACTGGTTGCCAGTCATGGATATTTTCTGGCTGCCAGTATATGGCTTGAGTATTGCTTACTCTGGCTCTTCTCAACATTCGCTCACCTGCATTCCATATATTGTAAATGATCCACCAACTGTTGCTGCTCTCTGACCTGAGAAATGCAGCCATTGTTCCAGCTGTCCTCCATATTGGCCCGTCTGGCATGTGAGTCTGCCGAAGTCTGTGGAGAATGTCCGCCAGTATCAACACAGCATGCCTGGATGTAAGCTCCCAGGGTGATACACATAGACAGTTCCTCCAGTGTTGGGGATCCTCACTGCCCAGTCCCAGGGTGATACACATAGACAGCTCCTCCAGTGTTGGGGATCCTCACTGCCCAGTCCCAGGGTGATACACATAGACAGCTCCTCCAGTGTTGGGGATCCTCACTGCCCAGTCCCAGGGTGATACACATAGACAGCTCCTCCAGTGTTGGGGATCCTCACTGCCCAGTCCCAGGGTGATACACATAGACAGCTCCTCCAGTGTTGGGGATCCTCACTGCCCAGTCCCAGGGTGATACACATAGACAGCTCCTCCAGTGTTGGGGATCCTCACTGCCCAGTCCCAGGGTGATACACATAGACAGCTCCTCCAGTGTTGGGGATCCTCACTGCCCAGTCCCAGGGTGATACACATAGACAGTTCCTCCAGTGTTGGGGATCCTCACTGCCCAGTCCCAGGGTGATACACATAGACAGCTCCTCCAGTGTTGGGGATCCTCACTGCCCAGTCCCAGGGTGATACACATAGACAGCTCCCAGTGTTGGGGATCCCTCACTGCCCAGTCCCAGGGTGATACACATAGACAGCTCCTCCAGTGTTGGGGATCCTCACTGCCCAGTCCCAGGGTGATACACATAGACAGCTCCTCCAGTGTTGGGGATCCTCACTGCCCAGTCCCAGGGTGATACACATAGACAGCTCCTCCAGTGTTGGGGATCCTCACTGCCCAGTCCCAGGGTGATACACATAGACAGCTCCTCCAGTGTTGGGGATCCTCACTGCCCAGTCCCAGGGTGATACACATAGACAGCTCCTCCAGTGTTGGGGATCCTCACTGCCCAGTCCCAGGGTGATACACATAGACAGTTCCTCCAGTGTTGGGGATCCTCACTGCCCAGTCCCAGGGTGATACACATAGACAGCTCCTCCAGTGTTGGGGATCCTCACTGCTCCCAGTCCTTCCCCAGTAGTTATGTTTTACATAGTATTTAGTGATATCATTTCAAGTTAGTGGGTGGTGGGGTAGCCTAGTGGTTAAAGCGTTCACTCGTCATGCCAAAGACCCGGGTTTGATTCCCCACATGGGTACAATGTGTGAAGCCCATTTCTGGTGTCCCCCGCTGTGATGTTGCTGGAATATTGTTGGGAGGATATGATTGCATGTATCAGTCAGGTTTATAAAGACAACTCTCAATTTTTTATAATGAAAATTATTGATATCTTTCTTTTCAAAAAGCATCCAAATTATAGAAAATGTTATCTTTACCTGATAAAACTAATATGAAAAACCATTAGACATTGGAATTAACTTTTAGGAACCCAAAATGTTTGCAGATTGCTCACAATCTATATCTGTGTTACTCAGATTTCATATCATGGTGTTCAATAAGACGGCAATTCCCATCTGCACTACACTAGAGGTGAATGAATATATTACTCTCAGGAACAAGTGTTTGTTGATAATATTGATGTCTGGTGCAGGTGTTGTGATGCATGATATGCTTGTAGGATATGATATTTGAGTACACTGAATAGAGTTTCCCCTTCTGAAGGTGTGAGCTACTGTGTCAGTTCACACGGTCTGTGGGAAGGGATTTGTGACAGACGGTCAAGTTGTCCTGAATGAATAATTCAACGAGAACATTTTATGTTTGTAGTTGAATGTATATATGATATATATTCAGGCAGGCAGACAGTTAATGAGGCAGGGTAGACGTTATCATTAACCATTGGTTTCATTTCTGTCGAGGTGCATCCCAAGAGTAATGTTCATCTTGTGTGATGAAGGATAGACCAACAGAGCATGAGTTCAGTCAGAGTTGTTGTGTGATGAAGGATAGACCAACAGAGCATGAGTTCAGTCAGAGTTGTTGTGTGATGAAGGATAGACCAACAGAGCATGAGTTCAGTCAAGAGTTTAGTTAAGTCGGGTCAAGATCTGGTTGTGCTCACCTTGTTGCTCACTTGAAGAGGTTGTCTTATGTTACAACCAGTGTAGAATGTTGAAAGGACAGTTTGAAGACCTAACCTAAGTTCTAATTTTCATTGACACCACCAAGTATCAGTCAGGGTGTAATTATCCTCACATTTGCAGCAAACTGATGTTTTCATGTCTGTGAGCACTTGTGGTATGGGTGGCAAAATAAAGACTGAAATAACAAACGTGGCTGTTATATTCTCCTCCAGCTGTTGGGAAGTATGATTGGCTATTGATTGTTATCATTACTGGATCTGTAGCGGTATACATGGATTATCATGCTATCTGATGTATTTTTGATGAGCCAGCATGTTTACCGATCACAATCCTAATATTGGCCATTATGAATTACTTGATTTGATGATGAATCTGTCAATGAGCTAACAGCGTGTGACAGATTGGTCTCTAATGTTTTGCTGTTGTCCGAGACGAAATTGGACAAATTGGACCATGCTTGTATTTGTTGTTTTGGTGGTTGTAGATCTTAGTAATCCTGGAATTATGAACAATGTGTCATGATGTTATGATTTATTGATTTGATCAATTTATGAGTAGTAGATGGTAGACCTCCAAGTGAGTTTAATCAATCAGGACCCCTGAAGATTAAGCTGGTTTTTCTTTTTACGTTGAGGTGATTGAGGATCAAACTGCAAGGGCGCTGTTTGACTATTAACCGTTACTATTGACATGATTATCTGTTTGAATATCTGTTGAGCACCTGACATTTGTGATTCATTTGATCATTTAGTATTTGTTCATTAGTCATTTGATCCTTTGTTGATTACCTACCATTTGAGGTCTTGTTGACTGCCTGCAGTGTGATCAGTTGATCCTCTGATTTGATCATTGATCCATCATTCTCATGAGATCGTTATTTGCTTAGCATAGTTCGATCATGCTATTTAATCATCATTTGACCACAAGTCATTTGCTTCATTGTTTGAAAGAGTGTTGATTTCTGAAGTGATTTACGTATTACTAATGACGTCTTCACAACCGGGTATGCTAGATGGTACCGATTGACCAATACGTTACTTGGTGCAGGTGAATCATCCAACTGTGGAAGCTGCAGTCAGTGGACTGTGACCAGTGTAGTGGCAGTAGTTGTAAGATCACTGATGTGTTACTTGTTATGCTAATTGTACTTAGTCTGTGATGTGTGACTGCTGTAGAGGCAGGAAGTGTGTTGCCATTAGATAGAGACTGGTGTCCCCCGCCGTGATATTGCTGGAATATTGCTAAAAGCGGCATAAAACCATACTCACTCACTCACTTAGATAGAGACTGAAGGACAGACAGGGTGACTGGACACATCAGTGGTGCTGATCAGTGGATGATGACAATCACCATCTTGGTGATGATTCTGTCACTGAGTGTTCTGTCACTGAGTGTTCTGAAGGTGCTTGTAACAGGTGCTTGAAGCAGTCAACTGTCACAAAGGATGGTAATGGGTCTGGGTAGCTGATTTTGGTAGTTTATGCTTGGTCTTATTGTGGGTCTGGCTAATTTATTGTGGGACTGGTTAATTTATTGTGGGTCTGGGTAGCTCTTGGTCAGTGTGGATAGTTTATGGTGGGTGTGAGTAGCTGATGGTGGGTCTGGGTAGCTGATGGTGGGTCTGGGTAGCTGATGATGGGTCTGGGTAGCTGATGGTGGGTCGGGGTAGCTGATGATGGGTCTGGGTAGCTGATGGTGGGTCTGGGTAGCTGATGGTGGGTCTGGGTAGCTGATGGTGGGTGTGGGTAGCTGATGGTGGGTGTGGGTAGCTGACGGTGGGTGTGGGTAGCTGACGTTGGGTCTGGGTAGCTGATGGTGGGTCTGGGTAGCTGATGGTGGGTCTGGGTAGCTGATGGTAGGTGTGAGTAGCTGATGATGGGTCTGGGTAGCTGATGACGGGTCTGGGTAGCTGATGGTAGGTCTGGGTAGCTGATGGTGTATCTTGGGTACATCTGAGAGAGGAAAGAGTTAGATGGTGTATCTTGAATACATCTGAGAGAGGAAAGAGTTAGATGGTGTATCTTGGGTACATCTGAGAGAGGAAAGAGTTAGATGGTGGATCTTGGGTACATCTGAGAGAGGAAAGAGTTAGATTCTGCTGGAGCACGATGAGTAAGGTGGATGTGGTTTCTGAAGTGACAGTCACAGGAATAGTCTGTTGTACAGACCTTGAGACAATGTCTATTATCAAGTAACTATAACTAATTCCTAACCTAGTGTGCACTGGTTTGGAATGTTAAGATTTCTGTATTGCTGGGAAATGCTGAAATTCTCATGATATCCTTCTATATATTAAAGGACAATTTAACAATTTCAGACACTAGATGTGAGTCTGCAGTGATGTGACAAATAACACATATTTCATTTCAAATCAAATTGTACTCAGATGTCAGCAAGGACCGTGCAGATAGATTTACCATTCTGTGGATATTTTGGAGAAATGATCTCAATTTAGCTAAGTGGTAGTTGAGTTCCTCAGATAAAGTGTGGATGTACTTTTCTCAGTTTGGGGGGCTTGTTCCATCATCAGTTCAAATCAATACCAGACTGCTTGATTATCTTTCTTTACGTTTGAAGTCTCTGCAACATCGGGTAAATCATCTTGCCTGCAGTTTCTCTGAATTAAGCATAACTACTGGAGTAGTGTTGAGTTTACAGGGAAACCGTATTACCAGTAAACATGTCAAGGTTGCCTTCTTTAAACACGTCATGCATGACCACGATTTCATGAGGGTTTCACCAGAGTGATGAGCATCTTAGACCTGCCTCACTTCAAGTTGAAACTGACATTACATGATGCCACTAAACACTTGTGACTGTGGGGATCAACCTGACTCATCCGGCGTCTCACTGAAGTAGGTTTGATAGCATCTTGCTGTCCAAGCTGAGAGACATGTAGGTATTTGACACACATTCATATTTAAGACAAATACAGGAGACACTTATATATAATTGAAACTATTCTGTGATGTCAAAGTAAATGTCAGTTTCTGTAGGAAATCTTTGAAGTTTGAAGTTCCAGGATGTGGGTTACGAAGTATATATCCTGAGGTAGATCATGTGACAACATTCATCACTGTCAGAAGGGGGATTACGGTAGTATTGGCAGAGTGTTTAAGGTTGAGGACTGCGAAGAAGGAGACGTTGGCATTTATCCAAAGGTAAAAGCCGATTAAGTATTTCCAGAATACAGTCAGTATGTTCTTGTGGAAACACAATAGCAGGATGTATATTTAATGAATTTTTTGCGGACTGAATTACCATTTTAGCTGCAGATAATAGAGCTTATTGGGTTATCTATATTAGCATGATGAGTTTTGTGAGGTCTTGGCTGCAGACTTGCGCAGAGCCATGGACACATCAGAACTCACTCTCTCATTCTAAATATTTTCTGGGATGCATTGAGCACAAGAAAAATGTAAAAAAGAAAATGTAACTTGCTTTTGTTTGTAATCATATTTAAATTGCAGACTTGTGTATCGAATATATCCCTTCACAAACATTGCTTACACTTTTACAGTGGTAGATGTTTAAATCCATAGTTTTACAGTGTATGGAAATAGAGAGCAGAATGTCCAACAAACAGGTCACCTTAAAACGAATGTTGCTTATTATACATATCTAGTATTATGGGGGGTGTTGTCATGCCTTAGTCCAGACAGTGATAGTAGAGTCAGTTGATTGCAAGGTCACTGCTGTCTGCTTGTCGATTTATCAAACTCTGATGTTTACAGTGACAGCTCATCAAATGACGTGCAGTAGACATATACTATAGATTAGTAGTGGATTCACTATGGTTGACGTCCAGGACAGAGTGAACATACACAAGATGGAGTCTGACTGAGAGAATATATCTTAAGGGTGTAAGGATCCCCACAGGGAGGGGAGTGACAGGTCTGAAATCCCTAAGGGTCTTTAAGAAATATAATTCTAATGTGTGGTTATATTTGAACTATTTATGCTGTTGAATGGGGAATTGAATTCAAGTTTTGTAATTCTGTACAATGCGACACTATATGCTCAGTCCTATACAACATTTGTGTTATTATTTGTGCTATTTAATATTGATGATCTATATGATCTAAGGATTAGTTCAGGCCTTATAAACAGGAGACAAAACCTTCACTAGTGCTAGCTGTATTAAACATGGAGTTGGCTCCAAGCCCTGCAACTTATCTGATAAATGTCACCTGAGAATAAACCATTCATGACCCATCATAGTGTTCTAACAACCATTTTCAACACTGTCAACTACATATTTTAAACAATTAGAAAATGAGAAAAGGATTGTGACAAGCAATGAGGATTTGTTTTCACAAACACATGTACCATGTGTCATTATAAATGTCAGATTACCTTTCAAGTTTAATTTATCAACTCTGCTGTAAATTGTCAGTGGCTGTTGCAGTTTCAGAAATTGCATTTCTATAAAAAGTGTATATTTTAAAGCAGAACAGTCTATTCAAGTTTACAAATCATTTGAATGAGAGACAATCCAGGATGTATATTTACCACAGTAGCTTGGTGTGTAGACATGTAGTTGTGTTGTGGGTACACTGCCATGTTAGGTCATTACTTGGCCTCCAAACATTTGTGGAAGAATTGTAGAGATAGACCTCAATCTGTACTTAGTAGAAAGCATAAAGTTCTTTATAGGTCAGTGTGAATGTTGGATAATGTTTGCAGGTAAATCTTTTGTGAAATATGTGGTTCAAACTGTATTGTTATGTGATGTAGCCAGGATATTGCTGACTGGCTTAAAGTAACATTCACTCACTTTCCTAGCTGAAACATCTCACGTTCTACTTCCAGACCGGGGTCATGTCGGGCATGGGTTTGTGGTGAGTGGGTGTGGTGTTCGCTTAAAAGTGCCATGGTTGTCTCCAGTTTTGTGGGTTTGACGGGGTTAAAGCTTTCACATGAAATCCACATTGGACAATGTGTGAGGCACATGTTTGTGTCCCCATGGTAATATTGGTGGAGTATTCTTATAGCAGTGTATGTATACTTACCCACTCTTCTGTTTTCTACTGGTTCTGATAAAATTCTCTCCCGTCTTACACTTCAAGGACAGAATTGGCAAAATTTGGGCATCAGTCTGGTGCTGAATAAATGATGAGGACTTCTTCAGCACATGTCATTCTTAAACACTGGAGACATATTCAGTATGGCAGTTTGAGATATTTGTAGAAAGTGAAGTGTTAGGCAGCAGTGGGAGTGTACGAATGTCATTGCTGGGATTAGGCGGGATGTAGCAGCTAGCTCATCAAGGTGGAAATCTTGGGAGAATTGTAATTTGTCCTGTTCTTTCAAACAGAGCTATGTTTGGCATTTGAACATTGTTGAAAGGGTGATGGAATTTCTTGAAAGATTCATTTAAGTAAATTGATTGTGTTGGGCCATCTGAGCCCTCGTGGGTTCTGGCGTATCACGGCTATGTATAGAAGCGTGGCCTAAGATTGGTCTCAAGTCAGTACGGGACTAAACAACATACATCACATGCCTCGTGGAAGGGTCAGGTAAAAGCAACAGGTCAAAATGTTATTGAAACATTGTCCAGTTGGGATTCCAATGAACAGGAGGTTTGTCATGAGCACCCTCAAGTGGTGGTCAGGGCGTTGGGGTAGCCTAGTGGTTAAAGCGTTGGCTTGTCACGCCGAAGACCTGGGTTCGATTCCCCACATGGGCACAATGTGTTAAGCCCATTTCTGGTGTCCCCCGCCGTGATATTGCTGGAATATTGCTAAAAGCGTCGCGTAAAACTAAACTCAGTCAGTCAGTCAAGTGGTGGTCAGGCTGTATGACAGATTGCATGTCATCATGCCCAAATTACTTTATTCTTGCTCATGCTTTTGTAGCCGCCATACAATTTCTGAGTACCATTCTTGGATTCGAACCATGGACCTTCTGATCTGAAGTCGGATGCCTTGTCCACATGACCAAAGAGGTTAACCCAGTCAGCAAGCTGACAAAGTAAGGATGTCACCTGTGGGATGACTCCATGCCCTGCTACACTTTCAACCATTGGTTTGTCTTCAGCATACTCAACTATTTACAAGCTGGAATATTGATAGCTGCCATGAACACCCAAACCCTAACATTTAGCGTACACTCTCACTAATACAGGAAATATAACATTCCATATCGCAGACAGCTGACAGACAGCTTTGCTTCACTCCATGTGACTTGCTACTGTACAGGATGTTGACATATCTGCTTTGCATTGTGGTCCCAGGGGAGACATGTATTTTTACATGCTATTGATTAAATTATGATTTGATAACCAAATGAAGTAGAAAAGCTCTTGTCATTATTTAATTTCCTTGACCTTAGTCATTTTGTGAGACATGCATCTAAGTGAGGCTGTGGATTTGAACTAAACTGAAAACATTTAGTGCCGTGATATGGAAGATGCCCTGACCAAATCTCATGCATCAGTTACACTTTGTGAAATTCTCAATTATCAAAATATCAATTGAAGCTCTGGGATGAGTCAAGGATTTCAGTTGCATTAGCAGGACGATGTAGGTGAAGTTTGGCGATGCTAGAGTGGAATGTGTTTATTGATGTGGTATAAAGGGCTTAGTCTGTCCCACAGCAGTCAGCCATAAGAAACACTGCAATGTTTATGATGCTGATGTATTCAATGGCTGGATCCCCAGGGACTTGAGCAGATCGATACGTTGTGGAACGGCATTTTGCTGCTGACCTCATGCGACCCTCCAATAAACTGTGAGGTTTTCGTTGTGTGTGTTGTGTGAATATTGCTGTGTGGGAACTATCAATTATTTCAGAAAATGTCTCTTGATTAATGTTCTCAAAATGGAGTATTATTGGTTTTCGGAATTTTGTGTGTATTCATCCACATAGTTTGGGCAGTGTGTCAGGAAGCAGGAGTGTGTTCATCATTCTGAAGACAGAGTTTGATTCCAAATAAGGTTTCATGAGTGTTAGAACCTTATTTCTGCAGTCAACTCGGTGACATTGTTTGTACATTCTCTCACTCACTCACTCACTCACTCACTCACTCACTCACACGGTATATTTCTGTGAGTTGTTATTGATTTCCTTGAGGTTCTTCATGTCACCGTTTGCCAGCCCTTTTTCCTGTCCCATTTCAGTTAAAGAACTTAACCTGAAATGTTTACTTGCCAGAATGTTTACTATCCTGGAATATTTACTACACAGGACTGTATGCAAGCAAAGAATGTTTACTAGCCTGGAACATTCATCAGTGATAACATATATGGACACTCCTACTTAAAATTCTACCGCCATTTCTACCAACATGAGATGAACTCTGACGGACACTGTTTCCTTATCCAAGTAGTGGCTACCATTCAACCAACTGGTGCTATGTTTAATATATCATACAGTCGTTAGGATGATAGCCATGAGGTCCCTCTCATAACTTTCATAGTTACTCTTCAAGTTCATGAATCCTTAGATTGAGATATTATTTGAGATGTTATTTGGGATGTTATTTGGGATATGTACCTGAAGGCACTGGAGGGTATCACTAGCGGGGCGATATGACACGTATCATCACCCACTGTACCGAGTCACCTGTCACATGTTGTTCCAGGGATACAGACTGGGGCCACATGTAGATCCTAGTGACCCACTCCAAGATGCAGTATGTGTATATCATAGAAACTCAGATGAGTTCAACAGTCAACACATCCCTGCCCTGAAACACCCCTCTGGAAACCAGCAGAACGTTATTGTCCTAGCTCCACACTGTATTCCCATCTTGCTGGGGTATATCATAAACTTATTGTCCTAGCTCCACACTGTATTCCCATCTTGCTGGGGTATATCATGAACTTATTGTCCTAGCTCCACACTGTATTCCCATCTTGCTGGGGTATATCATAAACTTATTGTCCTAGCTCCACACTGTATTCCCATCTTGCTGGGGTATATCATAAACTTATTACCTCTAAAAATACTCAGAGTCAGGTTTTTCTGTTTCTTCGTTTTATGGCACTGGAGCATAGCTCTGATCTCTGTGGCGAGATAGATGTACATTGAGTCAGTGCAATGTGATAGCGATGTTCCCTCAGATGATGCTCCCCACAGATGCTGGTTCCTCGTCTCCTGGTTTATATCTCTGCCACCATATGCTGGGTATGATTACCATGGTGGCCTCTTCAAGGATAACATACATTGTTGTGATCCGCCTCTCCCAGCAGGAAGTCATGTTTGGTGGTTGTCGAAGCATCTTCTCGGTAATGTACCTTCAACATGTCTTCTCAGTCAGGATGAAACTGTGCATGCAGCAATGAAGGCACTGGCGGTTTTAGCTGCGGCCGTGGTTGTTTACTTAGTTAGATTACGTAGTTGGGGATTACATCAGGGTGGGAAGGATTACATCAGGGTGGGGAACATCGTCAACCACTTACATTGATATACTGGGTAGCTGCCCTTGACAAGAAAACATGTTACAAACGGCATTCTGGTAGATTCCTAAAGTGTAAACTTTGATCATGGATGATGTATTTTAGACTACAAGTAATCTAGAGAAAAAGTAGAGATATGTTTGGCTTTTGGCTTAATAATCTGTGAAGGGTACTGAATCTGTGTGGTGGTTAGCATCCGATTGCCGAGACTCACTCCGTAGTCATCTCCTTAGTAAATGTTTGTTAATGCATCATTTTAGTTTCTAAGGCACAAGATAGATTGATTATTAAATATACTAACTATGCTATATATTTTTTCTGTAATGTAATTTTAAAACTGAAATTGAACAATGTTTTGTCTTATGTTAGTCCAGGTACCCTGTTTGATTGCTATAAACATGACAAGTAGAATTTGTTGAGGTGTCACTGTTCGTGGGTAGGAAGTCCCTGTACTATAGGGTATTGAGTAATTGATAAAAGTGATTTAGCTGTGATTGAATTTATGATCACTACTGAATGCTGTTTCCCTCGCAACTGATTTTATGATGTTATCATTGCTAGGTTTGATATACGACATGTCTAAACTGTTTCTACAGTGAATATTACATAAATTGTGGCTCATGTAGACCATGGTGTTGTGTGTAGGCGGGTGAGGTATGATAAGTACAGTCAATGTACATAGAGCGTGAGGGAGGGATTAGGTTGAGCCCATTTCCTTATTGCAGTTCATTGTCTTCAACTTATGTAGGTATGAATGTTTTGTATATGTACATTCCTTGGCAGTGATGGTCAATCAGCGATGGTCAGTTCAATATCTTCAACTTATATGGGTATGAATGTTTTATATAAGTACATTCCTTGGCAGTGATGGTCAATCAGCGATGGTCAGTTCAATGTCTTCAACTTATATGGGTATGAATGTGTTGTATATGTACATTCCTAGGCAGTGATGGTCAATCAGCGATGGTCAGTTCAATGTCTTCAACTTATATGGGTATGAATGTTTTGTATATGAACATTCCTTGGCAGTGATGGTCAATCAGTGATGGTCAGTTCAATATCTTCAACTTATATGGGTATGAAAGTTTTGTATATGTACATTCCTTGGCAGTGATGGTCAATCAGCAATGGTCAGTTCAATATCTTCAACTTATATGGGTATGAAAGTTTTATGTATGTACATTCCTTGGCAGTGAGGGTCAATCAGCGATGGTCAGTTCAATATCTTCAACTTATATAGGTATGAAAGTTTTGTATATGTACATTCCTTGGCAGTAATGGTCAATCAGCAATGGTCAGTTCAATATCTTCAACTTATATGGGTATGAAAGTTTTGTATATGTACATTCCTTGGCAGTGATGGTCAATCTTCAACTTATATGGGTATGAATGTTTTGTCAGTTCAATATCTTCAACTTATATCAATATGAATGTTTTGTATATGTACATTCCTTTCCTTGGCAGTGATGGTCAATCAGCAGATGGTCAGTTCAATATCTTCAACTTATATGGGTATGAATGTTTTGTATATGTACATTCCTTGGCAGTGATGGTCAATCAGCGATGGTCAGTTCAATATCTTCAACTTATATGGGTATGAATGTTTTGTATATGTACATTCCTAGGCAGTGATGGTCAGTTCAATGTTTTGTATATTTACATTCCTTGGCAGTGATGGTCAATCAGCGATGGTCAGTTCAATATCTTCAACTTATATGGGTATGAATGTTTTGTATATGTACATTCCTAGGCAGTGATGGTCAGTTCAATGTTTTGTATATTTACATTCCTTGGCAGTGATGGTCAATCAGCAATGGTCAGTTCAATGTCTTCAACTTATGTAGGTGTGAATGTTTTGCATATGTACATTCCTTGGCAGTGATGGTCAATCAGCAATGGTCAGTTCAATATCTTCAACTTATATGAGTATAAAAGTTTTGTGTATGTACATTCCTTGGCAGTGATGGTCAATCAGCGATGGTCAGTTCAATATCTTCAACTTATATAGGTATGAAAGTTTTGTATATGTACATTCCTAGGCAGTGATGGTCAGTTCATATGTTTCCTGTGGTCAATCAGCATTGGTCAGTTCAATGTCTTCAACGGTAGGTGAAAGTGTTGTATATGTACATTCCTTTGACAGTGATGGTCAATCAGCAATGGTCAGTTCAATATCTTCAACTTATATGTAGGTGTGAATGTTTTGTATATGTACATTCCTTGGCAGTGATGGTCAATCAGTGATGGTCAGTTCAATATCTTCAAATTATATGGGTATGAAAGTTTTGTATATTTACATTCCTTGGCAGTGATGGTCAATCAGTGATGGTCAGTTCAATATCTTCAACTTATATAGGTATGAAAGTGTTGTATATGACATTCCTTGGCAGTTATGGTCAATCAGTGATGGTCAGTTCAATATCTTCAACTTATATGGGTATGAAGGTTTTGTATATTTACATTCCTTGGCAGTGATGGTCAATCAGTGATGGTCAGTTCAATATCTTCAACTTATATGGGTATGAAAGTTTTGTATATTTACATTCCTTGGCAGTGATGGTCAATCAGTGATGGTCAGTTCAATGGTCAGTTCAATATCTTCAACTTATATGGGTATGAATGTTTTGTATATGTACATTCCTTGGCAGTGATGGTCAATCAGCAATCCAGTGAAATCGGCAGCTTTTCAAATGAAAATCAAAACCTTTTTAGAAGATTTGATATCATGTACAGATGTGGAACTGCTTTTTTATCCCCTGCAACACGTTTTGCAGGGGGGTATTAAAATGGACTCCGTCCGTCCGTGCGTGCGTGCGTGGCGTCCGTCCTTCCGTCCTTGCACTTTTGTCTTTTCCGGAGCAGAACTCTAAAACTGTTCAATATTTCTTAACCAAACTTGGCACATAGAAAGATCTGGTGGAGTACTGGTGCCTTTTGGTAGTTTTGGAATTCTGAATAAAACATTTTTGGCGTTTCCATGGCAACAAGTTCCACTTAGAATGAAATTAGTGGTAGTGCTCTTTTCCGGAGCTGAACTCTAAAACCGTTCACTATTTCTTCACCAAACTTGGCACATAGATAGATCTGGTGGTGTACTGGTGCCTTTTGGTAGTTTTGGAATTCTGAATAAAATATTTTTGGCTTTTCCGTGGCAACAAGTTCGACTTAGAATGAAATTAGTGGTAGTGCTCTTTTCTGGAGCTGAACTCTAAAACCGTTCACTATTTCTTCACCAAACTTGGCACATAGATAGATCTGGTGGTGTACTGGTGCCTTTTGGTAGTTTTGGAATTCTGAATAAAATATTTTTGGCTTTTCCATGGCAACAAGTTTGACTTAGCCTGAATTGGTGGTAGTGCTCTTTTCCGGAGCAGAACTTTAAAAACCTTTCAATACTCTTCTTCCACTTTTCTATATACACACCTAAACATTTGACATAATCATAACTCGTAGACATAATCATGAAGAGTATTTTGCCATTGCGGGGGATATTGATGACTTTGTCTTCTTGTCATAAAATGAAACAATATCTGAAAGAAAACACAAATAATTTCTTGTGTTTGATTCAGAATGTATTTAGATTTTCAGGACCAAATCACAGCAATAAAAACTTGTTTTGTATGATTTCCAATGATTTAAATACTCTGTGATTTACAACAATTCAACAACCATCTGAAAAAGGGTTTTTGTTTGTTAAATAAGCATAATGTTAACCATTGTGAAGTGAAATGTTTGGTAACAGAGATAAGTGCTTCCTCTATTCCTCCTCTGGTCAGGATGAGAGTTCTCCAGCTACTTATCTGGAGTAACAACTTTCAAATCGTGACATTTATCATTGGTAAAAGAAGTATTTGCCAATTTTTATGTCTCTTTCACTTAAATGTATTTTTGTTTACATAAAGTGGAAGGGTTTCCAATGTGATCGATTTCAGAGACTGGGAAGTATAAGAGTCCTCATTCAATTTATCTAAGTAAAATGTTTTAGCTGTGAAAACAAAACTTCCTTTGTAATGGCAGAGTACATATTCTGTCAGTATTTTGAAGCATGTAAAAGAACACCTTCAGTACGACTGTTCACAAACTGTTGATGAGGCTCAGGGAAATGGTAGTGCAACTTCTTTCCTGGGATGGCTTTCAAGGGAGATAATCAACTTAAAAAGAAAAGAAAGGAAGAAAGCGCCCAGCTAAGATGATTTAACAGTTGCAGGGAGGAGTGACTGGTTTTCTCTGATTCTATTCAGACCTCATTTACTGGGTGTAGTGGAGGTGAGAGGAATACTGATGTGTGGTAGTAGGTCCCAGGTGTGGTGGCGGGAATGTACGACAATGTTTGTAGTGTACACGTGGGCTGAAATGCTTATTTAGTATTTACTGTTCAGGATTTGGAGGTTGGAGTGATTCATTCATCTCATTGTAAGGAGTTGTGTTAGTTGTCGTAGGCTGTCTTCAAGTGAAGCTGCCATTGCTTGCTATGTTGTTTGCTTGTTTTGGCCTTCAAAGGCACAGGTCTCTATCTACTTAGATGCTGCAATAAGGGCAGCCCTGGGTGGTTCTGTCACCAGAATCTGATAATTGTGGGTTAGAATAACACTGATTATGTAACTCTTGTCACTTTAAGGCAAACTTCCTTCCTTCTTTGAGTGGCATATTAGAAGTTGGGAAGTACAATGTAGATGGTCGACAACGGTACAAGAATCTGTATCGAGATGTCACACTCACGAATAAAAGAAGTTGTTATCCATAAAGTTTGTTCTATATTAAACTTACTTCCTTACTAACACATGAGTTGACTGGCTTGTCTGCTTGAACAGCAAGATGTCCTATGATCTTATGCCACTTGCTCCCAA